CCGCTTGAATGATGGGGTCCCTCTACCGCTGGCAGCTTGTGCTTAGCTGCATTGGAGAGGGAAGGTGTGGCAAAAAAGTTACCGAATTTTGCTAACGGAAAGGGTATTGATCACATTATTGCTTGAAGAGCAGCAGGCATTTTGGATGCAGGCACAAATCTTGTCTGAGGTTATGCTCAGGCTGGGGTTCATTGTGAAGAGCAGCTGCCATCTGATGAACCATCGTAATGCAAGTTACGAATGGACCTCGTAAACGAGAACCGTCTAGCATACCTGGAGGGACAAGTTGCACATGGCCACAGTCAGTTGTTGAACAAATCCCCCGGAGACAAATGGACAGTGTACATACACATGTACTGTATACTTTACAATGTACATGTGCATGAAAAATGTAGCGATTTCAGTGCAGCAAGAAACACCGGCGCACGGCTAAGCACTGCGCAGGGTGTCCCTTTGTCCTCGAGTCACCCAACCGTGACTAATGTAGAGTGCTACAGAGCACGGCTCGCAACTGAACTCAGACAGGCCGTTTCATCAACGTGACCACCAGGCAATACGTGTATAAATGTATATGACCGACAATAAAGTCGATAATGAAGCCGAGAACAATTGCAAGGCTTGTAATGAGTGGGCTAAAAAACCGAGTCCTCATCCCGGTAGCGTTTGCCGCGGTGGGATCGGTGCAATAAATTCGCCCGGATTAGAAAAATAATGAAGCCGTTCCCGCCTGAGAAATGGACACCATTTGTCCGTTGACATAATGTTGTCGGTGTGTTCCACACACAATTGATCCAACGGAAGTGTTGGGAACACTTTGTCCTTGTTAGATGTGGAGCCCATCCTACGCTCGATTTGAAAGATTTATGATTGGGCGGAGGGGGCTCATTGGCGGATGGTAATTCAAGTACCCGTATCATGTCCCTCTGCAGCAAACGGAGTTCCGTTTCTGCGATGGACAGCCGTTGTAAATGGCCTGGTTCTTCGTCATCATCGGATGAATCAGCCGATTGCGAAGGCTGAGTTGACCCCGGAAAATGAGAGCCGTCTGGAGGGGCTAGTTGCACAGAACCACGCGGCGGTGGCTGGGCAACACCCTCCGAGATAATAGACATAGATGGGTGAAGACTAAACACAGGCAGGGATCCTGGCGCACGGCTAACTGTGTGCGGTAGGTCCCGTTGTCTCTGGTCCACCCAACCGTGGCCCACGGCTGGCGAATATGAAGTTTCGTTCGCCGTAGGCCGGGCCACCGGTGCATGCAACCGTGAGTGCTATACATGTATATGAACATAATATACGAACATAATATACACATACACTGTACATGTACACGTACATGTATCTCGTTGTGCTTGGGCCACGCAACCGTGACCAATGAATGACGACTGTGAAGCATTCACTACAGGTAGGGACTGCGGAGCATGGCTAACTGTGTTCACAGGCCACCCAACCGTGACCGGTGACTGAAGACTGTGAGATCAACCTTTTGGGGGGGGGGGGGGGGGGGGGCGCGTAGCTCGCCGCTTCAGGGGGGCCACCAATAGGGCCCGCCTGGCGGCCTGCAGACATAGCCGATAGCGTAGCTCGAGATCGAGTCCTCACCTCGAGATCGAGTCCTCACCCCAGGAGCGTTTGCCCAGGTGGGACCAGTCAGAGGAGCCGTCAAAGTCCGAAGATCGGCGATCACCCTTCTTTTTCTTGTTGTTGTTCTTTGAAGAACGGCCCCGCGTTGTGACAGAGGAAAAGTCGGAAGAACCTGGGGCACGGAAAAAATCTGATAACGAGAATGGTCCCTCAGAGCGAGATAGAACAGGGGCCGTTGGTCCGGGGTCCCCCCAGGCGACCGGCTCCGCATTGCTCATAGCATACCCGGCCGACAGCGCTTCAGGCCCTGTGGGCTGAGCGAGCACTGGTCGGTCCAATGCATTAGCCCGTCCCGGCAACCAGTGGTACTCGGCACTGTGTCGGGAGGGCACGGGTGACTGAGCCCACTGAATTGTGGCTGTTAGTCCCCTCGGGCTGCCCCGTGCTTGGGGAAGGACCGGGCGGTATAGTGGTGTTCATACCTGAGCCACGCTTGCCCCAATGACGACCCTTTTTAGGCTTTGCTCTGGCACAGGAGGTATGTTTTGGAGGAACCTTGCCGGAGCGTGCCCTTTGTTTGGGTGTTCTGCTTGAATTGATTGGAGGAGACCGAGTTCCCATTAACTGGTCAGTGGAACTGCCAACGCCCCCAGCCGTCAGTGGCTGAGGGTGCTGGACGAGGGACTGCTGCCCTAGAACTCGGTCCATCCCGTGGGAGAGGAATTGCCCCGGTTTGTGACAGATCAGTTCTCCCCAAACGCTTCATAATAATCGAATAAATATAACAACTAAATCAAGAAGAAGATGAGAAACTCTACAAACTGTTGTTAATAACTTTTGTTATCAATAAACTTCTCTTAAGCAAAAAAAAGGGTAGAAAAATGACAAGGAAAACAGGAGCTATTTTACACACGTCCTACCCGACCTGCCGCTAAGAGAAAAGAGGACGGCTCACGAGGCAAGCATGCCACAGTGTACTATGGGTAGGGCGCCAGAGGGCACTATTGTATAAAACTCTTAGTGGAAAATACGGTATAGGGAATATGCATAAGTAAATTGCTCTACAGGTAAGTTGAGCGAAGTAGACCTGTCATTGGTCAAGGCCAATGGTACCAGGGAAAAAAAAACAGCTGTTTGTTTTCAACCATTAAAGTGTACCTTGCTTACCTTGCAAAAGAAAACATTGAGTGAATGGTCACATATTGTGCCTGGGTGCCAGCACAATCTGTACCTACATGAATGAGTGTATAGACAAGGGCATTTTGTAATAATCTGTCAGTTTGAAAGCAAGGTGTTTGAAATTAAAAAAAAACGAAACAAATCTATCCATATTTTACATCTTGTTTTAAGCTAACTTTAAGCATTGTCTTTTATTTTACGTTAAGCATTGTCGTTTCGTAAACCCTAAATAATGTGATAATATTTAAATAGCATTTGTTTCTTAATCTATGATGCAACTGTATATGAGCATAAATAATAGCAAATGAATTAAAACACATAATAAAAAAAAACATCTTCAATTTAAGATTCTCTTTTTATGACATTTAGGATTGATGTGGTATGTCTTTTAATGTATTGTAAAGAATAATTGGTCCAGCTGATGCTGCATCTCATTCAACATGCTGATTATTCAAGTCAAACCTACATGTATAATAGGTTCGTTTTTAAGAGGTGTGCACAGAGGCATTTGTAATGTGTTAGTAAATTAGTAAAAATGAGTTTCTACTAAGAAAGTAAATAACTATGTGCAAGCATTAATACAACATGAACCTAGGTAATTAGAAAAATGAGCATTTACAGGGTTTCATCTGTACCAAGACATTTTGATGTGTCTATATGAAGAGTTTATTTCCAAAATGCATATCCATTTAAAAAAAAAAACTTTAAAGAATCATAATTGCATAACAGCTGTTTCTCAACTTCACTCAACTTCATAATTCTGCATTTATTGTATTCCCCAATTGTGTTTAACTTTATAACAGCTGTGGAAACTGACTTTGGGTAGCCAGGCGAGGGCGGGATTACTCTTCATATTCTTCACTGCTATTTTTCTAGTATCTGCTTCACCCGAGATCCCCATTACAACAAGATCAGTCCAGGTGCACAATAGTGACATTTAACTTGTAACAACTGAGGCATTTTAAACGGCACTTGACCCAAACATATCATCACCCACCTAACCCAGCTAAATTTATGCAACTTTTTTTTGATGATCACAGACACAAAAGTAGTATCAAAATAATCAGAACAACCAAGCAGGTAAGTTGTTATGAACTGTGCTCAAATAAACAAAAACCTGACAACATGAACTGGAAATCGATCAGTTTACCAATGATATGTAAATAGTATATGAACTTGCTGAAGTGCAAAACCGCTGCTTTTTTAAACATACATGCTTACCCCTTCAAAACAATGACCTGATTTACAAATATAATACGGACCAACTGCATCCAAAAATAATTTAATTGTGCGACCTTGCATTGCCATTCCGATGCTCTACCAGCTCTATGCTGGCTGTCAATGACTTTGTTCACAGGATTCTAGTCAGAAGCTATAAACCCTTATATGCCAGGTAGCCAGTGCAAACCTGAGAAATAGCGAATGGGGATCACTCAAAGGAGATACAGCTTTTTATTAAAACTTTGTAATTATAGAGTTTATAGCTCAGTTGGTAGAGCACCAGAACGGCAATACAAAGGTCGCAGGTTCAAACCCCGCTGCAGTCAATTTCTTTGTTCAATTAAAAAAAAAACATTATAAGGCCAAAAAAAATAAATAATCGGTCTCTGGTCAGACCGAAGTTCCAGAATTGATGCGGCGACGCGGCTTTTTTTTTTTTTTTTTTTTTCCAATCTTGAATTGTACAGACAAGGTGGGTACCATTTTGCTTTTTTGTGTCCCCATTATACATTGGTGTCCTCCAAAATTTGCCTTGGTGCCCTTTATCATTTGCCATGGTGCAATTTCCCCATTCCTTGGTGCTCCTTGGTACAAAAAGTTGAGGAGGTGCGGCAATAGAGGGCACTGTTGTAGCTTCTGTGTTAATTTGAAGAAAAAAAAAAGTTGACGCGCATGATTAAAATCGATGCGCGTGCTGACCAGAGACCGAGTTATTATTTTTTTTGGCCTAATGCACCTAGTCAGTTTGTTCAGAAATAATATAAATTATCAACAGTCTCTGATTTTTAGGAAACAACTATACAAACCAAGTTTCACTCCATGACATCAGTGGCGTACCCGGGGGGGGGGGGGGGGGGGGGGCCTCGGGGGGCTTTTTTGTTTGTACTTTTTTTGTTTTTTTTTCTTAGTCCCACGATTTGGCCTTGGTGATATGAATGTGGCCTGTTTTCCAGTAGTATATTAGGGGTGTAAGTGGCGCCACCAATGACAAAATAGGCCGCCCCTCAAAAAAACAAACATTTTTTTTTATGCGGCCAAATATTTTGGGCGAAAGTTTTTGAAAAAAATTCAAATTTAAACAAATTTGTAAAAAAAAATTTTTTGAGCCCCCCCCAAAACCAAATCCTGGGTGCGCCACTGCATGACATAGGAAGAAAGAAGAAATGTAACTTGAACAACACCCCCCCCCCACTTGACGTTCAAATCATCGCAGTCCGAGGGAAACATTACTCCAGACACTGTGCACCATCTTAAAATAGAAACTGAGTGCTAGTAGAATAAACCACAACTGGCATTTGCAAAATTCGAACATTTTCATGTCGAGGCAAACAGTCTGCCATATGCCTGCCAAATCAAAAAAGGTAAAAGTACCAATATATGTGAAGATTTATTGTTACCCTCAATATATCAAGATTGTGTTCAAACAATGAAACTAGTTACATTCTTTCACTGAAAAATTGGCAGCAAGCTGACAGCGCCCTCTGTTCCTATTTACCATTTGTCTTGGGGCCTTCGAAATATCAGGAGTGTTCAGTTTCCTACCCACAACATCATTCTCTGGTTTCTCTGGTGGTGTTAGATTCTCTTCCCTGTTGAAATTAAGAGATGTTCCTGATGCTGGTCGTGTCTTCACAGCTGGTAGAGTAACTGCAGCATCTATGCCAGACATAAAAATGAAGAAGAAGTTCAGACATCTGTCCATTTCAAGTATTAAACCAGAATGCATTTTCTCTTAAGGAGAAACATTTTGAGTCGTTTTTCCGATTTAAACTACATCCCTTTCACACCCATTGTCAAGATATTGTGGCAACAAAAGTGTCCATTCTTTCCAATGCTGAGGTACGAGATGAATTAACTGAATTAAGTCCATTGTTCAAAGGTGAGCAAGCTGCGTGAAAGCTTTGCCCTGTCTGGTCCCCGTGCTGCCTAACGAAACAATAGAATAGAATAGTCAGGTTCACAATGTATTTTCGTTGGGGTTTTATGGGGATTAGCAAAACTATACATTTTTAAAAACGTTATGATCTACTGAATCCAAAAGCCAATGTTTCTATTTTTTTCGATGCCATATTATGCCGGCCATTTTGTGGGGACAGGATAAAAGGGGGTGGATCCAACCCCCCACTCTAAGATCTTGGCCATGCCATGACAGATTTGATTGAAATTTAAAAATTAATGTGGCCTGACATTGCGAACTTAGCAAGTTCTTCTTCAGAGGCTAAAACAGAAATGACAGAGGTACATACATTAACATGGGGGTGCACACAAACATGCAGGGCTGAAAGAAGAAACACAAAAGGAGGATTAGGTGGGAAAGGTGTGGAAAGATGCAGGGAAGGGTGGATGAGAGAACAAAGAAACAAGGGAGATGGCAAACCACAAGGGGTCTGGTGTAAACAGGGGAGGGACCAGAAAGGGGAAGGATCAAAGGTCACAGGGAGTGGGAACGGACAAAAGAGTGTGAGAGTGAAGGGGGATGATGCGGGGGGGGGGGGGGGGGGGGGAAACAGTATGGAGGTGGAAAGGGATGAAAGATGGCGGAAGATGGGTAAACACAAACAAGGAAGACCAGGTGGATAATCTGTAACAGAAGACAATGGAGGAAGAAAAGGATTAATCATTTCCAAGTTGGATGTTGAGACCATGTGGTTGAATAGTTCGAAGACGATTCATCCACACTTTCTCTCTGCTGAGGCAAACTGAGTCCTTGCGATGGCCAAGAGATTCAATGCCCTGCAAAATCATATCAGAAATGGAGTGGTTAGGCAGGTTGAAGTGATGACCAACAGGGGTGTCTAGTTTCTTGGTGTTGACCGTTGACCGGTGGGCATAGAAACGCTTCTTGAGCGTATTCTTAGTCTCACCTACATACTGCACTCCACAGACCCTGCAAGAAATGAGATATATGACATTAGAGGTGTTACAAGTGATGTTACCAATGGTTCTGTGGGTAGTGACAGAAGAGTGGCCAGAAAAGGAGTCAGTCTCCTGGATATGAATCTGGCAGACAACACATCTGGAACTGCACTTGAAAGTACCATGCTGGGTGGGAGGGGATGCATCTAAGGATGGGACTTCAGCTCGAACAATCAAGTCCCGTAGATTTCGAGGACGCCTGTAAGCCAATGTTGGCCCGTTGGGGATGGCGCGGGCAAGGCGATCTGAAGTATGGAGGATATGATGATCATCATTAGTGATTTTGCAAAGGGGAGGGAGATTGGGGTGAAACGTGGTAACCAAGGGAATCATGGGTTTGGCCATGGCATCAGGGGCCTTTCCCGTGAGAGCTAGATTTCTGGGGATAGCTTTAGCTCTGGCAATGGCACGATGAACTTGGCGAGAACTGTGACCCCTGGCCACCAAGTTGTTCCTCAGTATCTGTGTATGGCGGGAGAAATCGGAATCATTAGAACAAATTCTTCTGAGTCTGAGTGCCTGGCTAAACGCTATGCCAGTTTTGCAGTGCCTGGGGTGACAGCTGGAGGACTGGAGGTACTGGTGGGTGTCTGTGGGTTTGGAATACAGGTCAGTGGTAAGTGAGTTGCCTTGCTTGCGGACGGTGACATCCAGAAAGTGGGTTTGGTGAGCCAAGAACTCCGATGTGAATTTGATGGTTCTGTGGAAGGAATTGCTGTGGTTAGTGAAGGTCAAGAGACTGTCCTCATCACTGGTCCAGATGAAAAAACATCATCAATATATCTCCACCAGATCCAAGGGCGACATGGGGCCGAGGCAAGAATGAGTTCTTCGAGGTCACCCATGAAGAGGCAAGCCATGGAAGGGGCCATGCGAGTGCCCATTGCAGTGCCGTGTACCTGTAGATAGTGTTCACCAAGGAAGGAAAAATTGTTCTTCGTTAGTATAAGCCTCATGAGGGTGCCAACATCACTGATGGGAGGAGTCGTGTGTCCTGCCTTGGCCAGAGCCAAGGAGCAAGCACGAACACCCTCCTCATGTGGGATGTTGGTGTACAGAGATGAGACGTCGAAAGTCCCAATGATGGCTGTGCTGGGAATCTGGTCCTTGATTCCTTCAAGCTTGCGTAGGAAGTCTGGGGTGTCGTGAATGTATGACGAAATCTGTGGGACAAGGGGTTTGAGAAAACTGTCAATGAACAGGGAGATGCGTTCCGTGGGTGAGCCATTACCGGAGATGATGGGTCTACCAGGGTTGCCAGCCTTGTGAATCTTGGGTAGAAGGTAAAATCTGGCAGTCCTACAATCACAGGGAGAAAGAAATTTGTGAGCTTTCTTGGACAACTGGTCACGTGATCGCATATCGTCAAGTACCTGTTGTGTATCTCGACAGAAAGTGCCTGTGGGGTCAGAGTCAAGGCGGGTATAGTTAGTGCGATTGATTGAAATTTGGTATGCTTGTGAAGATATGACTGCTAAGCACATGTGTAGAGTTTCAGTTCAATAGAACAAAGCATGCTGTAATTATCTTTGTTTATAATTCACACTACAAATTATTGCGGACGGTGACATCCAGAAAGTGGGTTTGGTGAGCCGAGAACTCCGATGTGAATTTGATGGTTCTGTGGAAGGAATTGCTGTGGTTAGTGAAGGTCAAGAGACTGTCCTCATCACTGGTCCAGATGAAAAAAACATCATCAATATATCTCCACCAGATCCAAGGGCGACATGGGGCCGAGGCAAGAATGAGTTCTTCGAGGTCACCCATGAAGAGGCAAGCCATGGAAGGGGCCATGCGAGTGCCCATTGCAGTGCCGTGTACCTGTAGATAGTGTTCACCAAGGAAGGAAAAATTGTTCTTCGTTAGTATAAGCCTCATGAGGGTGCCAACATCACTGATGGGAGGAGTCGTGTGTCCTGCCTTGGCCAGAGCCAAGGAGCAAGCACGAACACCCTCCTCATGTGGGATGTTGGTGTACAGAGATGAGACGTCGAACAAGGGGTTTGAGAAAACTGTCAATGCACAGGGAGATGCGTTCCGTGGGTGAGCCATTACCGGAGATGATGGGTCTACCGGGGTTGCCAGCCTTGTGAATCTTGGGTAGAAGGTAAAATCTGGCAGTCCTACAATCACAGGGAGAAAGAAATTTGTGAGCTTTCTTGGACAACTGGTCACGTGATCGCATATCGTCAAGTACCTGTTGTATATCTCGACAGAAAGTGCCTGTGGGGTCAGAGTCAAGGTGGGTATAGTTAGTGCGATTGATTGAAATTTGGTATGCTTGTGAAGATATGACTGCTAAGCACATGTGTAGAGTTTCAGTTCAATAGAACAAAGCATGCTGTAATTATCTTTGTTTATAATTCACACTACAAATTATCCCTTTATCCTATATATATTCAATGAAAAAAGTTACCATTTCACGATACCCTACGTTTGAAATTTCGCAATAACGGTCCAAATTTTGTAAAATAAAGTGTCCCCTTCTGCACATCACATCGGCCTAAAATTTAGTTTCATTTAGACTGCGGGCGACATTTAAAAAGGCACAATTATTGGGAGAAAAGGGGGGCGGGGCGGGGGATTCCACAGTTCTTGTTAAACATGGGTAATCCTATACTTTACTAATTTATTCTTTGTAGCCTGCACAGGTACATATTAAAGGACATGGACACAAATACATTGTAACACTTCATAAAATAATCAACACCAAATAGGAGGGCATGTACATTAACACATAAAATTGTACTTTCAACATCTTGTAGCTAAATTCAAAACTGAGCAGAATACCTAGACCACGATGGCCCAGCGCCTGAATTCCCGCACTTGCAATAATGAGTGCTTCAGCACGGGGTGTACCCTCGGGGTCCACTTGATAGTTAAACAGTCCAAAAAATTCCCATACCATTTGCACCATTTGATGGAATTGTGCCACAGGCGACAGTGTCTAAATAACTTGGAATAGGCCATCAGTACTAGCAATGGGGTTGGACGAGGAGGCTCTGAAGAAGGCGCCATCAGTAGCTCAAAGGATTATATTTGAAAGTTAATATATCATTGGGGCTGTACAGCTCTGCTTCGATTTCGGATAAAGACTAATGTAGGTTAATAATGTATAGTGTTCTGTCCAAGTGCAGGAGGAAATATAGGAGGAAACAGCTGGTACAAATGCAGGTACATTCGCTAGATTTTATAAGAAAGATGTTACAACCTAATCAGCTATGGGGGAACATATCTTGGCAAGTGTATTGCAAATAAACAGACAATTGCTGGTTAGTAGGACATCTGTTTTCTGGGTTATGTGCCATTGTTGATAATTCAGGTTTTTTTGAGAAGAGAGTAATTCCCCCCCCCCCCCCCCACAGAAGTGTGGTTGGGGTCTACGAACGAATACTTACCTGTAGAGCAATACTACTTATGCATATTCCCCCTACCGGCAGGTATTTTCGCTAAGAGTTATATACAATAGCGCCCTCTGGCGCCCTACCCATAATACCCCGCGGCATGCGTGCCTCGTGAGCGTCCTCTTTTCTCGAGCGCTAAGTCGGAATACAACAAAGTACCCAAGGCATCGAGAAGAGTGGGTAGGGGGGAGGGATGCTCTACAGGTAAGTATTCGTTCGTAGACCCCAACCACACTTCTGTGGGGGGGGGGGGGGGGGGGGGGGAGTCTACTTCACTCTACTTACCTGTAGAGCAATACTACTTATGCATAGACTAGCACCGTCAAGGAGGTGGGT